ATTTACAACTTAGGTCTAAGAGGAGACCTGTTTGTACTGTAAACCCTGAACTTAAATTCACATAAATTGGAATAAGTACTGGCATCACGATCTGACGCATAACTAAGGAGAAGCCAGTTCCCAATCCGAGTTGTTTGTCTCTTGCAGGCAAGTCGAAAGTGCTTAATGGTGCCCGGCCAGTGAACTTCATTAGGCCGAGATGGTTCGCATCGGCCCAAGCTGCAGATGTTGCTGCTGTTAGGTGGAAGGTCCAGAATTTTAATGACTACAGTTTCTTGCAGCAGTGCTAGTGGTTTCGCTGCTTGTGATGATCGAATTAAGAAGTCAGCTTGCTTCGTTCGCTGATGTTGCTTTTTAAGTCCCTTCCCCTGCACCAAAAATAAAAAACAATGCTGAGAGTTGAGGATCATAATTTTATATTCTAATATGCTCCGGATGGATTACCATCCTGCTCATGGATCGAAACCTAAACGATTTTACACAAAAGTACCTATTTCTTAGAATAACCTTCAAATGCATTATGCTTGGTGAGATTTGAGTATAGGTTGCTCTGGTATCATCTTACTAGTTCAGTATATCAAAATTTTAAAGTAAAGAGTTCAGATTATAATTAAAATGATCCAGGGAAAAAGAAGACTGTACAAGAAAAGTTTGAAGGTCCCTCGTCTTTTTCTTCCACATGAATATGAAAGCAAGATATCGCTTTCAATCGGTCTAAACCCAAGACATTCTGCTGCTCATACTTTCATCCAAATTGGATTTAACAGCCTGATATAAGCTTAGACATTAAGTACTATATAGAAAATGATTGAGAAGATAAAGGATTCCGGATAGGATTTATTCTCCATATGCCATGATTACAAGTATCTAATTCAAGAATGATAAGGCTGAGGTTCTAAATGGCTTTATAATAAAATAATTGAATTTGCCTTACAGGAGAGTTAAAAGATTTTCTTTATGGACTGAGAATTTAAGAATGGCCATATTCTTTTGCACGCTGAGAAAACTCTTAGGAAGCCTAATCCTACGGCTACAATTACACATCCATCTGCCTGTGTGCACAAGCATTCTCCTTAAATTTTAACTAGAAAGAATAGGAAACCTGGAAGAAGTAAGACACTGGAAGTCATAAAGAAGTGAGAAGTTCACTTGAAACATGAAATTACATCAGAAAACACCGTAAAAGCTATACAACTTAAAGCTTATATGTTAGCTTCTATCTTGTTAGTTTCATATGATAGTGTGCGTACAAAAAGAAATGAAAATAAATAATCAAATGATTAGAATATTGAGCATAAACTAATATCAATAGAACAAGTATTAATGAAATGATTTGCCAACGTTTTGTGAACTAGCTGTGCTATTTCATCATAAGTTTCTGGCAATTCATGGAATCCATGTCAAAATGGACAATTTGATTTTAAAGAAAGTTTTATAACCTGCTAAGGAATGGTTCAAAAGATTGTTTCAGTGAATTAAGATTCATGATATCCACCAGGCATCATGAGGCTATCATAAATAAGAGACCTCACAATGAGCAACATACCTAGGGTTTGGATATCCTTCACTACCTTATGTCCATACTTGTATTTCAACTAGTATAAAAACACCGACAATGCCATTGCATTATGGTTATAATAGCTGGAAATCTTTTATCTGTTTTCTTTTTGACTTTAATCATTGCCCTTATATGCTTTGCTATAACATCTACAAAAATTTAATTAAAGATCCACCCCAACCTTCCACTCCAAACCGTTGGATCGACTGCCACGCTCCAAATTGATACCCAATTTTATTGTGGATCTAGATTCTAGTGTTTTAAATGAAAATGTATATCATGAATGATAAAGAGTAAAGTAATATCAGTCTGACATAGTGAAAAAATAGATGCACAAAGACTTGCCTCATCATATGATGTTAGCTAGTAAAATCACTTAAGAGAAATTCTTACAGTTTCAACTCCTAACAAATATGCACAAGGGGATATGATAATGAAAATATGTGAGGCAGCAAATAGGACACAATATTAAGAGGAACGAACTTTCATTATACAAGGCATTGAAAATTTTATTTCGAAAAGAATAATCTCAGACGAAAAATTTGGGCATAAATAGCTCTTTATGAAACTCACCAGAAAGTAAACTTTGCATGCACTTTTTGGTCTTCAATTGCATGATGATCCACTCAGTCAGAAGTAGAATATGAGAAGCCTCCACTACATCAAAATAATTTTCCATGTCTAGCCGTAGATAAAATCAAGAAAGAATGTGAATAAAAAAGATGGCTCTAAAGGCCTTTAATTCTGTTCTCATCTCTTCTTGCAGACAATATCTCTGTAAAGGCCTTCAATTCATCCCGCGAATAACTAGGTTTTCTCTCACTAACCAGCTTCATGATCTCCTTAGCATTGCGGCCCTTCGAGATAGACACAAGGCCTTTCAGTAGTTTATCAATGGTATCAACACTAGGATACCAATTCCTTTCCATGCTATCCTTGCACAATCTAAATGCCATATCAAACTCTCCTCCTTTACAAAGATAATGCACCATAGTTTGATAAATCTTACCGTTTGGTTTGCATCCCCTTCCATGCATAGAGAAAAATATCCTCTTAGCCATTTCAAGCTCATAAATCATACAAAAGCCCTTAATAATCAGATTATAAGTCACCTCATCTGGCTTTATGCCAGCATAATCCATCTTTCGAATCAAGCTATTCGCTTGCCAAGCCTTCTGCCTATTAATCAAGTACTGTATCCTAACATTATAAGTAGCTAAATTTGGTGAGCATCCTCTAAGCACCATGAGATTCCACAAACCATCACTAATCTCTCGTCGACCATTCTTATAGAACGCAGAAATCAAAGTAGTGTATGTAACAACATCAGGTTTAACTCCACATTTATCCATATTTATCATGGTCAAGCAAGCATCATCTAAATGACCCAACTCGCACAAAACCTTGATAATTATATTAAATGAAATATCATCGAATTCAATCCCAAATTTACTCCGACTCACATTAATAACCTCTTGAATCTCATCGAACCTTCGGTTTTCATACAAGACCTTAAGCGTAGCATTAAACGATTTGACAGTTCTCAGACACCCAAAGAGATGCATTTCTTCAAAAGTCTTACGGGCATGATCCGGCATTCTAGCCCGTCCATAGAGCATTATAATACGAACAATGAACCCTTCACGGTGACCCTGAGGAAGTGCCTTCTGATGTTCAAGAAGTTGCTCGATGAGATCGAATCGATGTGCCCCAGCAAGTCTCGACACTGTGTCCTCAAACACAAACCGGTTTTCAACAACAAGGCGATTGTGGGCATTCGATTTGAATAAATCGAATAGTTTCTCTGGATCCCTCTCCTTCTTGAGCTTGACAAGAGCAGGCTCGCTTACGGGTATCCGATCTGATGAATTATTGGGAGGGGTTTCAGGGGGAGTAGATTCAGGATTAGGGTTTGTTTGTTTCCTCTTCAAAAGGGCAGCTTTGCAAGAAGCAATGGTGGGGAAATTATCGACGCCTTCGGCCGAACAGCTGGCGGCGATTGAGATATCCGTTTTGGGTCTTGATTTTAAAAGATGGGCGGTAATTATGGTGACAGCAAAAACATCAATTGCAGCACAAACTCTTCTGAGAGCAGTTAAAGAGAGCATATTCCAATTTCAGAAAGAATTCAAAATCTAATTTTGACTTCAGATTCAGCTAACATGAGAAGTTCTAAATATGATCTTCGGATAAAAAAGATGGCTTTCTGCATCAAATGCAAGAAAAATGATTGGTACGAAGTTTCGAAGTAAAAGAGAACAATGATATGGGAATTGGAAAGAGAACCATCGTACCTCTTGATCATTCGTTAGCGTGGAGCGAGCAAATGGATTGAAAATGATTGATTTTTGACGCAGAAATAAATTAGGGTTTTAGAATATCTCGAGCAAAAGGAGGTGGTTAGAGGCAGAGAAAGCTGCGAGTCCTCCACAGCTCCGGAACAGGTCTGCATGACGCATCGGGTCGGGTCGGGTCGGGTCTGGATTTTATTTTTTATTTTTTATTTATTTTACTTTTTTTTGGAGAGAGGGTCTGGAATTTATTTTATTTTATTTTTTTGAAATAAGTCAATAATATTAGTTTACCTAACTAATTGTAGGTTCATTGTAGAAAGTCCAGACCCGTCTAAATGATCTCGACCGTCTCACATGGGTTTGGTTCCACGGCTTGAACCTATAAACCAATGTAAGAATTTACACATGTGAGAAAATACAACTTATTTTATTAAATAAGATATTAAGAGATAAGGATTCTAACCAGACTCGCCCTAAATTTAGTAAAACAATGTGGTTGCTTGTAACCGGTGCTTTCGATCCATATGCAATAAGCAAAATGAAACACACTAAAATGACTTCGTATTGTGATCTCATTTGTTTCTTATTCGACTATTATCATGTAACTAATCAGAAACTAAAAGAAAGTCGAGAGAGAAAATGTAAAAAGATAAAATACTTGCATTAGGCAAATTTTGCTAACAAAATAAACAATTAGTTTAACTGAAAATAAATGAGTTATGAAAAATCAGGCCTGAACGGG